GGACCTGAACCTGTTCAGCCTCCACAAGAGAAGGCTGAGGGGGGATCTAGTGGCCTGTTACAAACTAGTCAGGGGGACCAGCAGACACTGGGGGAGTCCCTGTTCCCCCGAGCACTGCCAGGAGTGACCAGGAATAACGGTCGCAAGCTGGCAGAGGGGAGATTCAGGCTAGATATCAGGAGGTGCGACTCCACGGTCAGGGCGGCTAGGATCTGGGACCAACTTCCAAGAGAAGTGGTGCTGGCTCCTACCCTGGGGGGCTTTAAGACAAGGCTTGACAATCACCTTGCCGGGGTCGTTTGAGCCCAGTACTCTTGCCTGCCATGGCCGGGGGTTGGACTTGATGATCTGCTCAGGTCCCTTCTGACCCGAGCAACTATGAAATTACGCCCCGCACCCAAGGGATTTGGGATCTGTGTGGAGCAGCACTGCAGCGATAAGTAGTGTCCTGGGGGCAAAAGTGCTGCAGCCATGTTTGCATGAGGGGCTCCTCAAGTTTTCCCCTGGCCCCGTGGGGGTCTTTGTGCTGCCCCCAGGGCTACGGCCCTCTTGGGTGGGCGCTGGGCTGGGCTGAGCTCACCGGCTCCCAACTCTTCCCTCTGCTCTGACCGACTTTTCCTCCCCGCTCAGGGCAACTCGGAGAGTGACTCTGTGCGGGAGCCGGGCCTGCAGGGTCCCAGACGCCCCCATGGACCCAGCCTGTGGCTCCAGACACCGATGGGACACGTAACCCCAGCACGGGGGTCTGTTTCCTGCACCACTGATGGCAGCTCCAACCTCCACTCAATAAAGCCCCGACTTTGCAGCTTCCTTTAGTCTCCCTCCCAGGGGGTCTTGTCCCTGTATCTCCAGCACCAGCCCTGGACAGAGAGGAGGGGGCATCACTTGCCCTGCCCGGGGCGCCGTTCAGGCTCCCAAAGCCGGTCCTGCCGGGGCCCAAGTGAGGCCCTTGCTGGTTCGTGGTGGGGCAGCGGTTCCCTTTGCTGTGGGGCAATGCAGCGTGGTTCCCTGCACTGGAGGCGCCGGGGGAAGCTGGTTTACCGCAGGCCTGGGGAAACATGGCCTGCGCCCGTGCCCGCCCCCAGCTGCCGACACAGGCGGGGAAGAGGAGGGCTGGCATCCTGGCCTTGGTTAGTGCCCTTTGGGGTGGTGGAGAGGGTTGGGGGGCCCCGGTGGTCATTGCGCCCATTGCTCAAGGAAGCAGGTGTCCGTTCTGAGTTGGGACGTGGCTGCTCTGGGCTGTGGCCCTCGGGCTTCCTGCCAGCTCCTGTCTCCGGTCTCCATCTCCTGTCTCAGCCCTGGGCAGGGAGAAGGGGTCAGCGCCGGCCCTGCCGGGGGGGCACCAGGGTCCCGGGTGCTGCCCCCACGGGGCCATGGCCGGGCAGGATTGTGCAGGGAGGGTCCTGGGGAGCAGCCAACGGTGCAGGGACCCTGAGCGCGCCCGCTGGGCTGCATGGAGCCCTTGTCCCTGCCTGCAGGCGAGGCTGTGGCACCATTGATCCCAGCGCCCGCCTGCACCCGGGCTCTGGGCTCTCCCGGGCAGCCCCCTCCAGGCTGTGGTGCCCCAGCGCCCCTTGCAAGGGAAAGGGGGCCCTGGCCACGCAGCAGCCAGCGCTGGTGCCTGACACCGGGTTTTGGGCCGTGCTGCCTGCAGGGATCGCTGGTCCCCCGTGCTCCCAGGGGACGCTGACACCAGTGGACCAGGCACGTCTTGGGCCCCCGCCTCTGTGCAGCATGCTCGGCCTCTGGCAGGGTAGTATGGCTCTCTTATCCAAGACCCCGAGGCCACGGGGAGCCGGGCCCAGGAGCCCTGTGGGCATCAGGCTGGGCTGCAGGAAGCCCTTCTCTCTGCTGGCAGGGAATGCTGTGCCCAGGCCCAGTGTCTCCGTGCCCTTTGGGGTCTGCGCCCTGTCCCGTGCTGACAGGAGCCCGGCAGCAGGCAGAATTGGCCCCAGCTGGCCCTGGTTACCAGCCCCGCACCTCGTTAGCCCCAGGGGCTGCTTATAAGCAGGAGCTCTCGCCCCCCTGCCTAGCTGCTGCTGGTCACCCCTGCCCTGCGCTCCCTGGCAGCTCCTGGCTTGGGTTGGTGAGTGCCCACATCCTGACCCGCACCGCTGCCTGCTCTGCACCCTGGTGAATGACTCGACCTGGTCTGATCCTGACCTTGCCTGTTGCTGATGCCCTGGTTGTGCCCGGGGGCTCCAGCACTGCCTGCCTGTGTCCTGCTCGTGGTGGGTGCCCCAGCAGTTCGGGGCCCTGGGTGCTGCTTCCCACCTGGGACAAGGAGCCATGCCCATGCATGGGTGGAGGCTGCCAGGGACGCCTTCCCCCTGGAGCAGAGATGACCCTGGGGGCAATGGGGGCTCTGGCCCCGGGCCTGGGAGAGGGGACCTGTGTGTGGGGCAGGGGCACGAGGCAGGGCAGGTTCGTGCAGTGCTGGTGGTTTATCCAGAGAGGAGGGAGCAAAGCGCAGAGCCTGAGCCCAGCCTGGGCAAAGGATACCCCACACGTGGGGCAGAGCCTGGGGGAGCTGGGCTGGAAGCAGGAATGGGGGGCAGGGTGATGGTGGAAGGTCTCTTTGTCCCGCAGCAGAGCCTGGACACTCGGGCTTCGGGGTCGGCATCACAACAGGCAGGAGGTTGCAGTGCTGTCGAATGCAGGCTCCAGGCTAGGGGTGAGATGCAAACCTAATCCCTGCAGAGGGGAGGTGGCTCAGGGGTTTCCAGGGCTCAGTAGCCCCCTCAATCACTGCCCCACCAGGTGCCCTCATGCCCCTTTTGCCCATGGCTGCAATGCGAGGGCCTCATTCCTCAGGGCAGGAGCAACACTAGTCGCCTGGGGGCATCCCAGCCCGGGGCAGCCCAAGATCGCTGCCAGAGGCAGAGCAGCTGGGCCAGGCACAGGGCCCCCCAGCCTGTGTCCCCCATCTCCAGCCTCTGTCCTGGGCCAGGCCAGGGGCTGCTGGGCTCCAGCATCGCTCCAGGCGTCTCTCACACGGGCCCTGGCTCTTCACCATTCAGCTCCTTCCTCCTGCCCGCAGGGAGTCCCATGCGCCTTGCCGCCCGGACGTGACTGCGCCGGGGCAGGACCCGGGGCTCCCCTGCAGCCCTGTAGCGCAGAGCTGCCCCTCGCCTCTAAAGGGCAGCATGCATTCATTGCCACAGCCGTTGCTGCAGCACTTTGCTGCTCCATGGCACTCATAGTCAGTGAGAGACTGCGGGACCTGAACCTATTCAGCCTCCACAAGAGAAGGCTGAGGGGGGACCTGGTGACTGTCTATAGACTCACTAGGGGGGACCAGAAGGGTTTGGGGGAGACGCTGTTTCCCCTAGCGCCCGCTGGCATAACAAGGAGTAATGGGCACAAGTTGATGGAGAGGAGGTATAGATTGGACATCCGCAAAAACTACTTCACGGTTAGGGCGGCTAGGAGCTGGAACCAACTTCCAAGGGAAGTGGTGCTGGCCCCTACCCTGGGGGTCTTTAAGAAGAGGCTGGATGCCTACCTGGCTGGACTCGTTTGAGTCCCATTTCTCTTTTTGGGGTTTTTTGTTGTTCTCCCGCCCTGGCGGGGGGTCAGGCTGGAAGATCTACTAGGTCCCTTCCGACCCTTAATCTATGAATCTATAGTCAGTGTTGCATCCGTGAAGGCACTTGCCTGGGACGAACGGTGATAATGGGGGGCAGCGTCCGGGCTTCCCTGGAACAGGACACGTGTCTCTGAGCCCCTGGTGACTCCAGCACTGCCCTAGCTCAGGGGGTCAAGCTGCGGCGTGGAGGCCACAAGTGGCACCGACGGCTCCTGTGCACGGTGTGGGGCAGAGGGGAGTGGGGACCACAGGGCAATGTCCCGGCTCCTCTAGAGCAGGACGTCAGTAGCACTGAGATGCCCGGGGTGGGGCTGGGGGCTGCGCACTGAGCCCTGCCCATCTGAATGGCTGGGTGCAGACCTCAGGGCATCCAAATCCATCCCCTCCTCCTCTCTGTGCCCAGAGCTTTGCCAGCCCAGAGACCCCTGGGTGGCTCCCATGGGCAGTGGGACGGGGGCAGCTCTGCGCATCAGTCCCGTGCTGGGCACGGGCAGCTGGGGGCTCCAGGGAGCAGAGCGAGCCCTGGACAGACCTGATGTACAGGACCGAGGGCTGCGCCATGGGCTGTGCTGGGGTACTGGGGTCTCCGCTTTTTGAAGATGGGAACCATGTTGGCCTCTTCCAGTCCTGTGGCACCACACCAGAGCACCAAGAGTGCTCGTACAGCCGTGCCAGGGGTCCCGCAATGACCGCAGCCAATTCCCTCAGCACTCGGGGGTGGAGATCGTCCGGACCAGCTGACTTGAATACAGCCAGTCCCTCCAGACGTCCCCTGACTAGATCCTCCCTGACCCTGGGCCTAGGTGGACGAGGAGCCCTGCCAGCAGGATGAGGTGGCCCGACTTCACGGTGCTGCCATGATGCAATGCCGAGCACCAGGCCGGTCGGGCTATTTACTGTCCCACCTGCCCAGGGGGGCCTTGCACAACGCCCCAGCGCGGCTCCTGCCCTTCTATAGGCAACAAGGAAACTGCAGTTCCTGAGGCAGAGGTGGAAGTGCCTGTGCCCCAGCGATGCTGACATTGCTGCACCCTCAAGACAGGCTGCAGAGCACCATCCTGCTCCCGCACGTCCGTAGGGCACAAAGCAGGGCACGTTCCTGCTGGGCATCCACGAGATGCCCACCACCATCCACAAGCAGCAGGTGCCGGCCCAGGGGACGGACAGCTTGGTCTGCACCTCGTCCCTGCCAGGGTGCTCTCTGCCAGCGAGCGGGGAGGTCCTGGCAGCAGGAGGCCGTCAGACTGCATGGAGCCGCGGTGCCCTGCACTGGCCCGGCCTCGTTGCACCGTCCCGCCAGCCTGCAGGGGAGGGCGCAGGGCGAGGCTCCAGCTGGGCATCTGCCCTGCCCCGCGCCGTAACTCGTGGCCAGAGCAGGGATCACAAGGCTCTCTGCGCTCCAGCAGCATGTCGGCCCAGGACAAAGGTGGCCTCGCAGAGCCGTGCTGGGGCATCGCTCCTGATCATGGCCAGTCCTGGTGGGGCCTGCGGGAGCCTTGTGCCAGGGGGCAGCATTTGGCTTTGGGCTCCTGAGCTGCACCGGGCTGGTCTGTGGGGCTGCCTGGCAGGGACGCAAGCGCCCTCCTGGACCCTGGTGCCGCCCAGGGAGCAGCACGGTCCCATCAGCCGGGGTCCCAGCGCAGCTCCGACACCAGGACGTCCCGGGGAGCTGGTCCTGCGGTGCAGAAAGCCCCGGCAGCTTCAGGCCGGGCTGTGGGTGGGGAGGCTGATACCGAGGGGCACCGAGCCCCAGGGTGCCTCTTGGGTGCTCTGGGCTCTCCATGCTGCTGTCGGGAGCTAAGCCTGGCCCTGGGATCCACGTGGACCTGGCTGCCTGTGGCCTCACTGCCCGTGGCTCATGGCTGGACCAGGGTGACTGCCTGCAGCTCAGTCCCTCTTGGCCCCCAAACCCTGTGACTCCCGGTTGTGGGCTGGACCTGCCTGCTCCTGCCCTGGGCTGGGAGCCTCTGGGTTCAAGCCCTGACCGGCTGCATCCCGGGTCTGTGCCACGGGGTCCCCTGGCTGCACAGCTGGCCTGGCTAGCGGTGCGCGCCCAGCAGCAGCCCCGGGCGGCGGGGAGGTCAGGGCTGCCTCCAGCCCCCTCCTCGCCGCCCCTCTCTGCTCTGGGCTGCAGGAGTCCGCTGGCTCCCCCAGACCGTGGCCCCTGCGTCCCCCTGGGCTCCTGCAGCACCGCCCCCCCACATGCGAGGTGCTCATCTGTGGGGGCAATGGGAACCGGTCCCCCAGTGAGGATGGGCCTTGGGGCCTGTGGGCAGCGTGGCGGGGAGAGGGCCTGGGCTGCCATGGCTGGGACATACCAGGGCCCCCCTCTCCGGTGGCTCCAGCTCCATCCTGCCTGCAAACCCCCCCCCATGTGGGGACTTGTGACTGGCACGAACACCTGGCCATGGCACAGGGACCTTCACCACTGGCTTCACTTGCCCCTGGGCCAGGAGCCCCCCAGCCCGTCCTGAGACCGTTGGTGGTTTCCTGACGGGGCAACTGGCCCCTTTGCCGCGGGGCGCGGGGACCTGACACAAGAGGTGATGGGGAAAGCGCCCGGTGTTGCAGGCAGCTCCTGGTTCCCTCCATCTCGCCCTGCTCATGCTGGGGGCTTTGCCTTGCCCTGAGCCTGGCTGAATTCAGCCCTGGGCACCTGGCAGAGCCCGCCCTGCCCCTGGGGCACATGGAAGAGGGGTGTGGAACAGGCACTTGCCACTGCCCAGGGCCGGGGGTGTCCGAGGCAGGAGCAGGGTATTGGGCGGGGAGAGACGGGGAGCTTGAGGGACCTGCCGCTGGCCTGCCACAGGCACTCTTGCAGCAGGGAGATGCAGTGCTGCCCCAGGCCATCATGCGCTAGGGTCCTCTGCCTCGTCTGCTCCGTCCCATCCCTTTGCGGTCATCGCCTGCCTCCCCAGTGTGTTCACAGCCGAGACCAGCCCTCCAGGGCCTCGAGCCAGGGTCGCCCCCAGCCACTGGCCCCCGCGCTTGTTCTGCCGGTCTGAGCTCAGTGCCCCAGGCCTGTGGCCTGCTCCTGTGTGACGGCCGGGGCCAGGAGCGATGGCTCTCCCTGGTAGCAGGGATGGGGAGCCCTTCCTGCTGCAGACTTGTGCCTTTGCCCCCTCACCCTCCAGCTCTGCTGTGTCCCCCGTGATGTCCCTGTTCTGGAGCGGTGGCTGCTCCACCTCCGTGGAACACTCTGGGCACGTCTACACATGCAATTAATGCTCACAAATAAAATCCAGGGATTATTGCTCCAGTGTTTTTTGCTCCTGGGCGTGCCATTTGAACATGTACCCAGGAGCAAAAAACTCTGTGGCAATAAGCTCTGGAGTTTATTCACGCGCAGCACATGGGGCCGGGTCGCAGCAACCCCGTTAGCAGTAGCCCAGGCCTGCTCCAACCCCTCAGTGCCAGGCGGGCCGGCGGCAGCCCCCGCACTGTGGTGCCCTCGTGCCCCAGGCGCACCAAGAGTCTCCGGAGCAGGGCAGGACTTGTGTTTACACACACAGGTCTGCTGAGCAGGTTATGAGCTTTGTGCGTGCTAGTAGGGCCACACGGGTAGACGCGGAGACGTTTACTGCGGAGATAACCAGGCAGCTCTGCAGCAAGCGTCTCGTGTAGACCGGCGCTGCCAGGGCTGGGCACAGCCTGGGGAAGGGATCTAGGTGCTGCCTGGGACAAGCCCTGCGGGTCGGGGCAGAGCAGGGAGCACGTGCGCCCCGCGTGCCGGCCGTTAATGGCCCGGCCCCGTTGCGCAGAGGCCCAGGGCTGTTTCCCAACCTTCCCGGTGCCCCGGGTGTGGGGGGAGGGGGGTGCTGAGCTGGGGCGTTGTGCAAGGTCCCCCCACTCCCGGGCTGGATGACGGTAT